ACATAATCTGTACATATTTCAAGTGTAAAGTGTGGTAAGCCCTAAAAATATATATTCTCATAAAAATTGGTTCTATGCCTTTAATGTTATGTTTTCTTTGCAATAAAAGATGAACTTTACTCATTTGGTAGTTCCTGGAAAATTGAAGGGAAAAACTAGCCAGATTATAAAATTATAGGGATTATATCTAAATATTAAGGTTAAAAAGTCTGATACGTTAAATTGCAGAATGTTAATTTAACTTAAAGATTTTACATATGCACTATATAGTCCAAGTTCAAAATTCTCCTCAATTATTACTATTGTAAACAAAACATCCCTGTTAGATAAGTGGGTGTTGGTTGGTGACTGTGTCCATAGTCACCAGGAGAAAAATGAAACTCAGATTATTTCAGTGATGTGTCATGTGTTCAGTACGAGAGCACAGGTCTCCTTATCTCGAGTCAATAATGACTTCCAATGGCCTCAGTAGCCTCCAATCGGAACTTTAAAAGCAACTGTTTCTTATCTGCCCAACTCTGAGTACAGAACACTGTGTCTTTTCTGCCAGAGATTATTTTAAAGCACCATAAGCGCATTCTGAAAGTCTAACTATTGCTCTGCTTCATATAACGTGAACCGATACAAAATTCTGAATATAAACATTTAGTCAGTCAAACTTTCCTCAAGAAGACAAAATCCCATGAAGTTTTGTTTGCAATATGGTGTAATTCCAGGATCAAAGCAAGTAAATGTTATTACAGGAAAAATTGCTCTTTGAATTATACAATAATCGGATCAACTTTTCAGCATTGGCCTCTGCTGTTATTAGTTAGAACAGTGCTTTAAGTCTTTAAAGAATTATGACTTGGAAACACTCATAACTAATTGCATTGGTGATTTAAAAAGCGATGGTTGGCTGTGCCTTTTTCTCCCTCCCAAATGTATCTGTAGTTGTACCAATGAGCTCGATGAGTAGAATTTGACCTCTGATTCATAATGTTGAAAACAAATGTCCCATGCACTTTGTAGGCAATTGTTTATAACAATTTATGTTGGTCCCAGCTTAATACAATATTTGCTAAAAATATTGTATTTTTATACCAGGTAGTACATAGTTTAATGTTTCCATTAAAATCCTTTTTATGTTGGTCCCAGCTTTTAAGCAAATATTGTATTTTTAAAAATGGTAGTACATAATTTAATGTTTCCATTAAAAACCTTTAACTATAAAAGTTGGAAAAGAAAGTTATATTTTCAAATGGAAGTATTTTTGATTTCTGAAAGAAGACTATGTCATGTAGTTAACTTGACTTTGCACAGTCTAAGTAAAAAACTGAACAAGTCTCTTTACTAAAAAAAAGAGTATAAAATTTAAGTGTTGAGAACATCTAACTTTTGACAATTATATCTATGCTTTCACAAGCCCAAATTCATTAGAAATTATAATACTAATAATTCCTCACTTAAAAAATAATGATTAGTAAGAAAAATTATGGTAGTACCTACCAATAATATTTCTTATTCATATTCATTTTGGTCTATCCATCCTTATGACCTCAGAACACTTAGACACTGAGTTGTCCCTGATTTAGTCTTCTCCCTGTTCATTTGCTTACCCACGCCCTAATCTATATTGTAAGTGATTTCAATAGGGCAGATTAATAAATCCCAGATTGTTCTGAGAGCCTGCTGATTCAGAGTGACTCTTTCCTAATTGTTTTACATTCACATGGGTGTTCACTGTGGCTGCTCTCCAGCTCCCCGCCACGGAGAAGTCACCTCCCACACCCACTGAACAGAGTCAAGGAGTAATTCCTCGGGGAGCAGCGTCACTGGTAAGCAGTTTTTGCTTGGCGTGTGTGCCTTCTTTTGAATGAGATCTGTGTGTAGATTAAGTCAACAAAGTAGTATTCACACAGAATACGAGACCCTGCTGTTGCTTTTTAGTAAGAAATCCCATTCTGAAATTTACAATCTTTATTACCAAGTTTGTAAAATCCCAACTGACATGTGTTGTTTTTTTCCTGAATGAAAGTTTTCCTAAAAAGCACATTTGTAACCATCAGCAAAACAACAAGAAAGCCCACTGCATGGGAGAATGTATTTGCCAATATTATCTCCAATAAGGGTTTAATCTCCAACATTTACAGGGAACTCATGCAACTTAACAAAAGGAAGATAAACAACCCAATCAAAAAATGTGCAAAGGACCTAAATAGACACTTTTCGAAAGAGGACATTCAGAAAGCCAAGAGACATATGAAAACAAGCTCAAAGTCACTAATCATCCAAGAGATGCAAATCAAAACAACAATGAGGTACCACCTCACACCTGTCAGAATGGCTATCATCAACAAATCGACAAATGACAAGTGCTGGAGAGGATGCGGAGAAAAAGGAACCCTTGTGCACTGCTGGTGGGAATGCAGACTGGTGCAGCCACTGTGGAGAACAGTATGGCATTTCCTCAAAAAATTAAAAATGGAACTGCCATTTGACCCAGTAATACCACTTCTAGAAATATATCCCAAGAAAACAGAAACACCAATTAGAAAGGATATGTGTACCCCTATGTTCATAGCAGCACAATTTACAATAGCTAAGATTTGGAAACAGCCTAAATGCCTGTCAGCAGATGAGTGGATTAGAAAACTGGTACATCTACACAATGGAATACTATGCCGCTATAAAAAAGAAGGAATTCTTACCATTTGCAACAGCATGGATGGAACTGGAGAGCATTATGCTAAGTGAAATAAGCCAGTCAGTGAAAGAAAAATACCCCACAGGATCTCACTCATTTATGGATAATAAAGAACATTATAAACTGATGAACAAAAATAGATACAGAGGCAGAGAAACATCGAACAGACTGTCAAACGACAGCGGGAAGGCTCAGGAGGGTTGGGGGGCGGGGGGAGGTAAGAGATCAACCGAAGGACTTGTATGCATGCATATAAGCATAACCAATGGACGCAAGACACTGGGAGGGGGGTGAGGGCATGTGACAGGGGGTAGGGGAGGCTGGGGGAAGGTCAATTGGGAAAAGGAGACATATGTACTACTATTTGTAATACTTTAAACAATAAAAACAAAGCAAATTTGTAATTTTTCCTCAGCCCAATTATTTTATCTTTCATCTACAGCCTTCCACAAGAACATTTTCTTTTGAAGTTTTCATCTTTTATGCTGTTTAGATGAGCTTGTGGTTGAGTTAGCGCTTCCTTTTCTGAAGGTAAATAACAGTGACCTGTTCTTAAGAAAGTCTGACAGCGTATGGCACAGAGCTCCTTGGCAGTCCTCACCATCTGCATATAGCAGTCTCGGATTAGTTCTGTCTGGCGGGACCTGGGGGAGTGTCGGAGCCCTCCAGAGAGGCCTGGTCCAGGTCTCTCCATCAGGGACCGCTCTGTGTTAGGGAGCAACACAGGTTGGTTGCATAAAAGAGAAGAGAAAAATGCCCATGAGCTGAACTGATCATTCAGCAGAAGACGCAGAGGTTTGCAAAGAAGAATGAGAACATGCTGGTGGGGTTTCGCCTCCCTGTCCTCTCTGAGCCCACCTCCAGCAAGCATCCCCCCTTTCCCAGGCGATGGCTCGGAGAACCCAGGCACCGCGGGTGCGGGTTCCACAGCGGAGGCTGGCAAAGGGCTCCTCGGAGGGCTGGGGCACTTCTTGAAAATGGTGGTGATGACCGAATGGGTGGGCTTTTGCCATATGGGTGACGACAGGAGGGTTTCAGGTGCAGGATTGTAGATGAATGCCGCGGTCAGCAATTCTAAACGAAGTTGATACCGTGTGTGGATGTAGGAATACAAACAGAGATCTGAAAACATCTGTCTTGACAAGGTCATAAAAATGGACTTTTGATGCAGAAAATGAATGACTGTCTCTCGGGATAAGGTAATTCTGGTGCAAAATAAGACATAAAACCATCCAACAGCTATGTCATCCAGTGTTCTTTCCGAGTGTGGAGGAGGCGCATAAATATGCAACATAACACAGTTATGAATTTGCCAACTAATTTTGGAAAAATAAAAGAACGTGTCTGACCCCTTATTTTCTGGGAATTCTCCACAGTTTATAACCTCAGCTGGATAAGAAAACCAGGTCTCTTTAACCTTCTTTCGGCTACGCCAAGATCTCAATCACACTAGGTCGGTTTCTGCTTTATTTTGTACAGGACACGATAGTGCAAGCTTGCACATGGCCGGTCTCCCCGTCCACACCCTGTTCATGCATGAACTTCGGGGAGCATTTTAAACAGCAGAGTAAGTCTTTCCATTTTCCTGAGCCACATTCTCTTTTCTTCTCTAATTTAATGTCCTTTTATAGTAAATACTCTTTTCTAATACTCCCAATTCAAGACTACGTAAATGGTGCTACATAATTGCATTCTGCAATGCATAGCAAACTGAATGCCCCCATATCTCTATTCTTTTATTTTTTTTAATATATTTTATTGATTTTTTTATAGAGAGGAAGGGAGAGGGATAGAGTTAGAAACATCGATGAGAGAAACATCGATCAGCTGCCTCCTGCACACCCCCCACTGGGTATGTGCCTGCAACCAAGGTACATGCCCTTGACCGGAATGGAACCTGGGACCCTTTAGTCCACAAGCCGGTGCTCTATCCACTGAGCCAAACCGGTCAGGGCTCTCTGTTCTTTTCTTTCTTTCCTTTTTCCACAGTGTTATACTCAATTGAGGAAACAATCCACATGCGTTTTCCATGAACAGGTTTCTCCCGGTACCCCAAAGTCCAGTGTCCCTATGCAGAACCCAAAATGGAATAAAGCAAACAAGCAACTACCATTCAGTTATATGTAAGGACAGTTTCTGAGTATTCCCTGACCCCAAAATCAACACCGCACAGCGTCTTCATTTCATTCACCGCGATCCAAATGCCCAATTACATCCAACTTTACACTAAGTATAACGCCCCTGTGCGCTCCTTCAGGCTTTGCTGATTCCTCAGGATGCACAAGATAAATGGGAAGAAAGCACAGGTACTCACACACAGACCGCAAGACGATGGAGCTTGATGCGGAGATGCTCCTACAGCTCCCGGGGAAGGCTGGGCGGGCCGCTCACTGCGCCGGGAGCCCACTGCTTCTGTGACGCTCGCTGCAAAACACGCGTTCAATGTTATTCTCATCTTTTTTATTAAGCAAAAATCTTGTTCGGATTTCATTGGCTTAGGGGTTTCATATAAGCAAAGTGGCGCAGTGTGAACTTTCACAAGGTGGAGACACTGTATGAACTCTCCCATATGAGTACCTTCCGTCTCTGAACATTTAGTGAGTTTCAATATGAAAGGCCACAGTCTTTCCCTCTAGGAGATTACATTTTTTTAGACATATTTTTACTGATTTCAATGAGGAATGGAGAGAGAGAGAGAGAGAGAGAGACATTAGCCACACTGTCCCTGGGCGGATTAGGAGTTTACATTTAAGTGTGTGTGTGTGTGTGTGTGTGTGTGTGTGTAAAGAGGGGTGAGCACAGGGAAGCATGTAAACAATGAACTGCAATTCAAGCCAGAATGGGAGCAGCAGTAGAAGTGTGTTACATGTGTCCTGACTGTAAACACATCCATAAGACAGGAAGGAGGAAGCCTCTGGCCTGGAGGAGAGCAGGTGGGTGAGTGAGGGGCAGAGAATGAGGCAGGGCATTCCCTGCAGAGGCAACAGCATTAGGAAGACGGGGGGAGGTGAGGGAGGGACAAGTTCCCTGCATGAGGGAGCTGAGCAGCCTCTGTGGGTTATTTAGTTCATTCCCATTTGTCTTCAACTCTAGGGCATTGAATGTCTTCAAGAGATGACCTTGATACCCACACATAATGAGAACTCTGGGAGTTTAAAGATTTACTGTTGTTTTGTCAAGTTATCCACCCACACATCAGTCCTGAATGAGTTGGATTTCATCTCTACCAGAAAGTAGCCTCTCATCCGAGCACCGCTTTCTTTTGTGGATGCAAGTTTCCCATTTAGTTCAGATTTGGGGAAGATGATGTTTGGGACCCGCTTTGAGACTTTAACTTCAAATGCTTCTAAATCCTCATTAAAAATAAATAAATAAACTTAATCAAAGCTAAAAATTATCAACAACAAATCCAGAAAATGTCAAATGATTTTCCAGGGTTACTTTGGGGGCCGGGGAGGGGATGGGGCTGAAAGAGATTTCTTTGTAAATTCTCAACATTACTGTTTCTCTTAAACAATTAGAAATCATCTGTTAGTTCACCGATTTACTCCTCTACTTAGCATATATGAGTTCTCACAAGCGTTGTGTGAGGACTCCAGGAGTTTAAGGGATTTACTGCTGTTTTGTCTCGCTTTGTGTTTCAGGGGAAACTGAAAACGAAATAAAGCGAAACAAAGACTCTGCCAGGGGAAGCCCAGACGCTGCAGGAGCCTGTGGGAAGATTTATTGACTATTTAGAGTCAGGAAGGATTCCAGAGCTCAGCCCGAGCTGACTCGGAAGGTAAGTGGTCAATCAGAGGAACAGAGGGTAACAGGACACAAAGGAGAGAGAGAGAGAAGGTTAAAAATTGTGAGACACTGGGGATGAGGGAATCATGTAACCAAGGACAGCAAAAAATAAAGTTGTGCCTAAATGGCATGGGTGGCTCAGCGGTTGAGCATCGACCTATGAACCAGGAGGTCAAGGTTCGATTCCCGGTCAAGGCACATGCCCAGTCAGGGGTGTGCAGTGACATCATCAGTACTTGACCAATCTTTCTCTTCTCTTATCTTTTCTCTTCTCATCTATTCCCTCTTTCCTTTTCTTCCTTTCCTTTTTCTTCCCCTTTTCTTCCCTTCCACTCCCTTCCCTTCTCCCATCCCTTACCCTTTTTCTGTGCTGGCCTTGCTGTTGCTTCATTTTCAAGCAGGCGCTCCCCATGCAGTCCACCCTGAACCACAGAGAAGGGCAGTCCCTCTGAACCACATGCACAACAATGCAGAAGGAGGGGATGCCCTAGAAGACATCTGGAAGAAAGAAAATTCTTCATTATTTCATTCCCTAAACTCTTCACTCATCATCCTTTTTGAGGTGCATTTGATGAGAATCAACATGAAAATGTTAACTGAAGACAGTCATACACCACTTCCTAAAGTGATAAACATCATTTTAGAAAAGAATACATAATTTCCATTTAGCATTTGGCCAAGAATCTATTTTCAACAAGTTGCTCTTCAAGGATTTGGAATTACAAAGTAAAGAAGAAAGCTCCTTCTTTTCTTTAAAAAAAAAAAAATCACTGCCATTTGAAGTTTTTAAAATGCTTAATCAGACTTTCCTGTCAAATCATCTCACTCCAAATGAAATGTTATAAAAACAAACAAAACAAAAAACCTTAGGCAGGATTCAGAGGATACGTATCTTTGGATTATACTTATATTTCCTATTTCTATAGGTCAGACGGTCATTTAATATTCATGATCCCTGACTATTAACTGGTCCCTTTGCTAGGCACTTGGGAAATGTATAGGAATAGGATATAGACCCTGCTCTTATGAGTTAGAATAGAAGCAGACAGATTAACAGGCAATTACATAGAGAATGTGTCAGGTATTATAATAAAAACTAGAGGCCTGATGCATGAAATTCATGCAGGGGGGGGGGGTCCGCCCTCAGCCCAGTCTGCACTCTCTCCAATCCGGGACCCCTTGGGAGATGTCTGACTGCCGGTTTAGGCCTGATCCCAGGGATCGCACAT